TGGGGCCCCCTGGCGCCCGCCACCTGCCTTGCAGAGTAGTACTGAAGAACCCAACTGTCTTCTACTAATCCGTAGGGTCTTTAGGATCCCACACTCCCAGACTTCTCCTCTCTAGTAAAGGACACGGAGAGAGTCCGCCCTTAGCAGGAATCCCGGAACTTGAGTTCTGAACCTTAAAGATCCTAGAGCTCCCTAGGGTGATGGTGCAGCCTGAAATCTTACCACTAGGAGAATGAAGCAGAGGCATCCCCAGTTCCAGGCCTCCACAATAACAATCTATTCCCCCACAAAGTATTGATACTAATACCTCTAATAGTAACAACAACGGCAATAATCCCGAGGGTAGACTCTGGCTTCCTCAGTGTTCTCTAGTTCTAATTCAGTGAGAAGACCCAGTCCCTCCTGCCACACACCCAGGGATCCAGACCCAGCCTACGGCCTCTACAACCCTTTCTTCAGCAATCACTTTATTGCTCAACAGTCTAACCTACATCCACAATCCCATTCTCTTCTAAGACCCAAAATTTCAGGTCCTGGCTCTTTCAGAAACATCATCACCCATGTCCTCCCAGATCTTAGGACACAGGAAACAGGACTCCAATAGTGGACGTAAGGGCAGAAGTCTGATAAGATTGCTACAGGTCTAGGTCCCAGCCCCTGCTCCATAATCCCCCCACACACATCCATATTCTCTCTCCCTTCTCCTCCTTCTTTTCCCTCCTTCACTCCTTTCTCTTCCTCCACCCCCAGCTCCCATCCTCAGGGGTCTGAGAGTCCTGAAAGCAGACGCTAAGGACTGCCCTACCAGAGGCAAGAGGTGACTTTATGGTCCCTCAAAGGCAGGGTTGTGGTGAGGATTGCAGTGTCTGTGACAAAGCAGGCAGTTTCCCTCCAGGGGACTGAGCAGTCATGGCTGTGATGGACCAGTCCCTCGCTGATCAACTGTAAGGACTTGCTCAGAATCGGGAGAAGGGCTAAGGCCTGGACCTGTGCTCTAAGGAAGGAGAATCAAGGCTTGGAATCCTAGGAGGGTCTGGACCCCTGAGGTGGAGGGAGGATGGTTAGCATCTAAACCCCTGGGTCACAGGAAAGAGTGCCAAGGTCTGGACCCCTGGGTCTGAGAGAGAACCGGACATCTAGGTCTGAGGGGAGGAGGGAATTGGGAGCCTAGCCCCATGGGTTTAAGGGAAGATGGCTGCAGTCTGAGGTGGGAGGACTGGGGTCCTACCCCATTAGTCTGGGGGTGAAGACTAGGGTCTAGTCCGATGGGTATAAGGAAGGTGAGCTAGCATTTGGACATGTTTCCAAGGGTCAAGGGACTTGGGAGTCTAGACTCCTGGCTCTACGATAGACATCCAGCTTGCATCTTGCTCTGGGGCTATAGAACTCACAGTATGAGTCTTAGCATGGTGGATGTTGAAGTCCACAAGAGAGAAGGGGCAATTTCAGGAACCCCCCGGCGTTCTATCTAGGTCCCAAATTGTCTGTACCAGGCAATGTCCTTGTCCACCCACCTTTGAGTCCTCTGGTTTCATCACAGCCCCTCAGTCCTATGTCCCATGAGGAAGACAGAGGCTTCCTACTGGGGTGAAGAGTGGCCCCCTCCCTCAGCCCTAACAGGAGGAGGGTCCCTAGGGAAGCCTGGAGGGGGGGCGCGGGAGGGCTGTGGGTCTCCTGGCAGGGAGGGACGGGGACTGAATGTTAATCGCATCCTGAGTGAGTGTGCGAGAACACAGCCAGTGTGTGAGTCCCTCACGCTCTGGCTCCTGCAAGCGTGGCCG